CCCAGTGGTTGCGCTCGCACGCACCCACCGCACCTATTCTGGCACACCCGTCAATTGTTTCGCGGCCCCATTGGGAATTCCACCGACGGCCTCAGTGGCTGCTTTCGCGTGCGCCCACCGCACAAATGTCCGGCACACCCCTCCACGTTTCGTGGCCCTATAGGGAACTCCTTCGAATGCGGTACATACAACGACGGTGCTGACAACTGCATATGGTTGGGTCCGTCGCCAGGCTAATGTTTGGTACGCCCCCAACAGTTACGCGCCAGTGCATCGCAGTTTCTTTATGTTGTGTTTGATTCCAATTGGGACCTCCAGTCCGGGCGTGCAACTCGTCCAGAAGTTCGCACACGAAGCACCTAGATCAGCGAGGGCGTGCCAGGGCGAGGGCATGAGAGGCATTTTCGAGCACGATGGTCGCTGGGATTTCGAACCACGGTCCCGAGACTTCTGAATTACGCTACCGAGGAACCCCACATACTTAATTTAAATCTTATGTGTTTGCTTATGTATGATATATATATATATATATATATATATATATATGCACAATCCTGCGTTCTGGGCCCTCGTCGCGAATGTTCCCTGCTAGGCTTTGCGCCAGTGTCGTGGATAGCGGCCGAGCTGAGAGACCACCCCCTGCGCACCCCCTGTGGTGTCGAGAAAGTGCCAAGATGCTACCCCTGCGCACCCCCTGTGGTGTCGAGAAAGTGCCACGCTGCTAGGTTGCGCCAGTGTCGTGGATAGCGGCCGAGCTGAGAGACCACCCCCTGCGCACCCCCTGTGGTGTCGAGAAAGTGCCACGCCTGCTAGGCTTTGCGCCAGTGTCGTGGATAGCGGCGAGCTGAGAGACCACCCCCTGCGCACCCCCTGTGGTGTCGAGAAAGTGCCACGCCTGCTAGCTTTGCGCCAGTGTCGTGGATAGCGGCCGAGCTGAGAGACCACCCCCTGCGCACCCCCTGTGGTGTCGAGAAAGTGCTACGCCTACTAGGCTTTGCGACAGTGTCGTGGATAGCGGCCGAGCTGAGAGACCACCCCCTGCGCACCTCGTGTGGTGTCGAGAAAGTGCCACGCCTGCTAGGCTTTGCGCCAGTGTCGTGGATAGCGGCCGAGCTGAGAGACCACCCCCTGCGCACCTCGTGTGGTGTCGAGAAAGTGCCACGCCTGCTAGGCTTTGCGCCAGTGTCGTGGATAGCGGCCGAGCTGAGAGACCACCCCCTGCGCACCCCCTGTGGTGTCGAGAAAGTGCCACGCCTGCTAGGCTTTGCGCCAGTGTCGTGGATAGCGGCCGAGCTGAGAGACCACCCCCTGCGCACCCCCTGTGGTGTCGAGAAAGTGCCACGCCTGCTAGGCTTTGCGCCAGTGTCGTGGATAGAGCCACCCCCTGCGCCGAAAGAGACCACCCCCCTGCCCACCCCTGTGGTGTCGAGAAAGTGCCACGCCTGCTAGGCTTTGCGCCAGTGTCGTGGATAGCGGCCGAAACTGAGAGACCACCCCCTGCGCACCCCCTGTGGTGTCGAGAAAGTGCCACGCCTGCTAGGCTTTGCGCCAGTGTCGTGGATAGCGCCGAGCTGAGAGACCACCCCCTGCGCACCCCCTGTGGTGTCGAGAAAGTGCCACGCTGCTAGGCTTTGCGCCAGTGTCGTGATAGCGGCCGAGCTGAGAGACCACCCCCTGCCCACCCCCCTTGGTGTCGAGAAAGTGCCACGCCTGCTAGGCTTTGCGCCAGTGTCGTGGATAGCGGCCGAGCTGAGAGACCACCCCCTGCGCACCCCCTGTGGTGTCGAGAAAGTGCCACGCCTGCTAGGCTTTGCGCCAGTGTCGTGGATAGCGGCCGAGCTGAGAGACCACCCCCTGCGCACCCCCTGTGGTGTCGAGAAAGTGCCACGCTTGCTAGGTTTGCGCCAGTGTCGTGGATAGCGGCCGAGCTGAGAGACCACCCCCTGCGCACCCCCTGTGGTGTCGAGAAAGTGCCACGCCTGCTAGGCTTTGCGCCAGTGTCGTGGATAGCGGCCGAGCTGAGAGACCACCCCCTGCGCACCCCCTGTGGTGTCGAGAAAGTGCCACGCTGCTAGGTTTGCGCCAGTGTCGTGGATAGCGGCCGAGCTGAGAGACCACCCCCTGCGCACCCCTGTGGTGTCGAGAAAGTGCCACGCCTAGGCCTTTGCGCCAGTGTCGTGGATAGCGGCCGAGCTGAGAGACCACCCCCTGCGCACCCCCTGTGGTGTCGAGAAAGTGCCACGCCTGCTAGCCTTTGCGCCAGTGTCGTGGATAGCGGCCGAGCTGAGAGACCACCCCCTGCGCACCCCCTGTGGTGTCGAGAAAGTGCCACGCCTGCTAGGCTTTGCGCCAGTGTCGTGGATAGCGGCCGAGCTGAGAGACCACCCCCTGCCCACCCCCTGTGGTGTCGAGAAAGTGCCACGCCTGCTAGGCTTTGCGCCAGTGTCGTGGATAGCGGCCGAGCTGAGAGACCACCCCCTGCGCACCCCCTGTGGTGTCGAGAAAGTGCCACGCCTGCTAGCCTTTGCGCCAGCGTCGTGGATAGCGGCCGAGCTGAGAGACCACCCCTTGCGCGCCCCGTGTGGTGTCGAGAAAGTGCCACGCCTGCTAGGCTTTGCGCCAGTGTCGTGGATAGCGGCCGAGCTGAGAGACCACCCCCTGCGCACCCCCTGTGGTGTCGCAGTGCCACGCCTGCTAGCCTTTGCGCCAGTGCGTGGATAGCGGCCGAGCTGAGAGACCACCCCCTGCGCACCCCCTGTGGTGTCGAGAAAGTGCCACGCCTGCTAGGCTTTGCGCCAGTGTCGTGGATAGCGGCCGAGCTGAGAGACCACCCCCTGCGCACCCCCTGTGGTGTCGAGAAAGTGCCACGCCTGCTAGGCTTTGCGCCAGTGTCGTGGATAGCGGCCGAGCTGAGAGACCACCCCCTGCGCACCCCCTGTGGTGTCGAGAAAGTGCCACGCCTGCTAGCCTTTGCGCCAGTGTCGTGGATAGCGGCCGAGCTGAGAGACCACCCCCTGCGCACCCCCTGTGGTGTCGAGAAAGTGCCACGCCTGCTAGGCTTTGCGCCAGTGTCGTGGATAGCGGCCGAGCTGAGAGACCACCCCCTGCGCACCCCCTGTGGTGTCGAGAAAGTGCCACGCCTGCTAGGCTTTGCGCCAGTGTCGTGGATAGCGGCCGAGCTGAGAGACCACCCCCTGCGCACCCCCTGTGGTGTCGAGAAAGTGCCACGCCTGCTAGGCTTTGCGCCAGTGTCGTGGATAGCGGCCGAGCTGAGAGACCCCCTGCCCACCCCCTTTGGTGTCGAGAGACTGCACGCCAGTGTCGTGGATGAGCTGAGAGACCACCCCCTGCGCACCCCCTGTGGTGTCGAGAAAGTGCCACGAGCTGTGCTGTGCTGTGCTGAGCTGAGCCGTGCTGGGCTGTGCTGAGCTGTGCTGAGCTGTGCTGCGTTCTGAGCTGAGCTGAGCTGTGTGCTGTGCTGAGCTGTGCTGTGCTGTGATGTGCTGTGCTGTGCTGAGCTGAGTTGTGCTGTACGAAGAGTGAGGTGTGTGTGTGTGTGTCGCGGATGCGGCGCGGCAGGGAAGAAAACCAAAACCCCATGGGGAACAAGTCATTTGGGAAGCCCCAGGAGAACGCGAGTGCCCGGGCATGCGACTACGTAAGACGTAATCACATATTTCCGCTCTGGGGGGTTGCACAGGACTCGAAAGCACTCTGTTCAGTGCCCCGCGGCACGGCGGATATCTGGATACTAGTATGTAGATGTGTATATTCATACATCTACATACACGCATACCTACATACATACATACATACATACATACATGCATACATACATACATACATACATACATAAGACAGACAGACAGACAGACAGACAGACAGACAGACAGGCAGGCAGACAGACATACATGCATACAGACATACATATACATGTACAGATACAGATACAGCTATACACATATGATGGGATTCGGCCCATCCCGCCCCTGGACCAAACTAGTCGGTCAGATACCTCCGGGATGTCTGTGAGGATAGATTGGGAGACCCTTGCGGAAGCCTCTTGGAGACGCTTTTAGGAATGTTTGGGGGCGTCTCGGGGGTCTCTCGGCTGCCTCTTGGGGCCTGATTTGGGCGTGTTATGTACCTCCTGGGAGCGCCCCAGGGGCCTCTGGAGGGATCTTGGGGCCATCTTGGGGCGGAGGGCTCAAAATGTCAGTTCGTGCTCCCAACGCGCTCCTTGCCTTCTGGAAAAATCACGCATGACACTCCCAAGAGTGCCCGAGAGCGCTCTGAGCTTTGGGCTGTGGGCCTCCATCGCGAATTTACCATATTTGACGCGGAGAACTCCAGGGGACTGGAGGACACTCCAACTTGTGCTTCAGGGCACGGTGGCGAATACATTGAGACGTGTACATGTGTATGTAGATGGACATGTCTATAAGTAAAAGTACGAGTGTGAGAAGGCCCACGAATGTGCATGCACAAACAGATGCAAGCATTCATACAGACATACACCACAATAGATCATGATGCATCAACTATGGATGCGCAGGTGTACTGAATCATGCGTGCGCCCATGTTAGAGCTGACATGTTCGTATATTCCCTCTACCTCTCCCTCTGTCTGTCCCGCTCTCTCCCCCTCTCTCGTTCTCGCTCTCCCTCTCTCTCTCTCTCTCTCTCCCTCTCTGTCCCCCCGCCCTACTGGTCCAGATCACCCCCATTCCCATCTCCCTGCCCAGGTTCTCCCCCCTCCCTCATCTTTCCCCCGCCCGTCACTATCCCCCTCTCCCTCTGCCTCTCTCTCTCTCTCTCTCTGGCCTGGACGGACCCTCCGCCCGAATCGCTGCGCTCTCCATCTCTCTCTCTCTCTCTCTCTCTCTCTCTCTCTCTTTCTCGTTATCATTATCCCTCCCTAGATATCCCTCTCTCTCCCTCCCCTCTCTCCCTGCCCCCGGGGCGGGACGCACCCCGGCACAGCCAGCAAGACGCCCCGAGCGCCCGGCCCGCTGCCCTGCACCACACGGCGCTGCTGCCGGGAGCCCCGCCCACGCCAGCGCGCCCCCCCCCTTTTTGAGAGGAGGGGGCGGCGGGAGGTCGGAGGAGGAGGAGGAGGAGGAGGAGGAGGAGGAGAAGGAGGAGGAGGAGGAGGAGGAGGAGGAGGAGGAGGAGGAGGAGGGAGGAGGAGGAGGAGGAGGAGGAGGAGGGGGAGGAGGAGGAGGAGGAGGAGGCTGCGCTCCAGGCGGTTGCAGTGCTTTCACGCCGGGCGTGTTCTCCCGGGCGTCGGGCCCCCGGCCCAGCACGGATCGGTCCCGCTCGAAACGGGCGGCAGAGAGATGGCGCCCAGGGCTTCGGTCGTGGTCTTGTGCTGCGATGTTGCATGTTTCCAACGTCGGGCTTCAGGACGTCGGACCCTCGTCCTCCTCTTCCCCTTCTCCTCCTCCTCATCCTCCCTCAGCGGCCGCGCGCCTCGTTCCTACACCAGTGAGCACGAAACCATCCATCCTTTGACCCCTCCCTCCCTCCCTCCCTCCCTCCTTCCCTCCCTCCCTCCCTCCCTCCCTCCCTCCCTCCCTCCCTTCGGTGAATAGTCCAGGCGCAACAAAGGACCACAACCACAACCGAGTGGATTATTTGGGAAGGCCCCTGCGGGAGAACCCGCCGATCCCGACATGAGCCCTCTGGTTCTGGCAATGATCGCTTCGGTCGCCTGGGACGCCCACACCCCTCGAAGGGGACTTTGCCCACATAGCCATACCCTTCTCGCACTGCCAACGGCAGGCCAGCCTGTGTTTATAGTGATCAACAATATGCCAGCCATGCTTCGTGCCAGCCCTAGCAAGTTGACGTAACCAGCCTCAGACATAAACAGGAATTCCTGACACCTCACGTACCCCCACCGGCCCCGCTCCCCTGGAGAGCATCTCCTCTCGGTGCGAGCCTCCGCCGTTTGCTGCCAGGTCCCGCATCTCGCGGTCACACCTGGCCTGCGACGGCCTGCCACCGCATTCCCCCGCCGCCACAGCCCTGCGCACGAGGTCGCTGGGAAACCGCTCCGGACCCTGGACGCAGGCCTGCGGGCCTGTCCTTCGTCGTGGCCGCCCTGGCCGCGCCAGAGGTCTGCCTGCTGGCCCCTCCCTATTTCGGGGATTCTACAGGGCTCCTGGGCCCGCGGCTCGCCTTGAGTCTGCCGCCTCTTTCCGCCGGGGATAGACGGACACCCGGTCCTCCCCCTCGTTGCCTCCCCCGGGTCCTGCTCATGTCCCCAGGCGTTGGCTCTCGCCGGCTCTTCGCTGGAGTTTGGTTTCCTCTCACCGACTCCTCGCACCCTCCTTTGACCGGCGATCCGGATTTTCCGTCGAGCGCCCGCACGTCATGCTCCTCCTCTTCTGGGTCGGGGACTTCAATTACCTCGAGGTGCTGCACGACGCCCAGGTGTTCGTCCTGGTGCTGGCGCTCTTCTAAGCGACAGTGAGGTTCGCCCGCTGCTTGTCTATTCCGCCGTCTTTCTCTTTTCGTGTCGCCCTTCTTCTTCTTCATCTGTGCGCTAATTTAGGCCGTTGTTTCGACGCTTCGTTCTGACGGCGCCCGGCGTCTTCTGGTGCGCTGCGATCAAAAAATCCCCACCAGCCCATCCAGACACGATCGAAGGCTTTCTGGAGGTCTCTTGGAGACTATCGTGAGCCATGTTCGGCTAGAAACTGTCGGCGGCGATCCCGAGCCACGCTCAGGTATCTTGGACCGTCTTGTGGCTGTCTCGAGGCCTGTTGGAGGTCTATCGGAGGCTATCTTGAGCCAGGCTAAACCTCCTGGGACCACCTTAGGGGTGGGAGGAGGAGGAGGAGGAGGAGGAAAAAGGGAGAAGGATGAGGAGGGAGAAGGATGAGGAGGGGGAAGAAGAGGAGAAGGCGGAGGAGGAGGAGGAGGAATGCGGCACGAGGAGGAGGGGGAGGAGGCGGAGGAGGAGGGAGGAGGCAGGAAAGGATGGGGGACGAAACGGACGATGACAAGGAGGATGAGAAGTCGGGCTTTGGAGGTATGTTGTTGTGAGAAGCTCTTGAATGACGACGAAGGCCATTTTGGCGGCTCGCTTGTGGCGTTTTTTGGGCGCTCTTGGGCGCTCTTGGGGCCCTCGGGCCCCTCTCGGGGCTCTCTTGGGCCGTCTTAGGGCCATCTTGAGGCTTCAAGAAACCATCGGAAGCGACAAGGCGAGAAGGCAAAAACCAGGGATTGCCCTTTGGTTCAGGAGCGAGTTGAGCCACTCGGGGGGGTCCTGGGGGGGGTCGGGGGGCACATGCAACCGTATTGGGGCCGGCTTGAGGCCTCTTGGATGTGTAAGCCACCTTGAACCATTTAGAGGTATAGTGAGCCATCTTAGAGGCCATCGTGGGCTCTGCGAGGCCATCTTGGAGCCATCTTAGGCGATCTTACGGGGCATTGGCGCCTCGCGCCGCCCCCCCCGGGGGGGAGGGGTCGAGGCCCCCCCCTTCGCCCGCAAGCCGCTTCGCTCACTCCCACCCGACCTCCCAACACATGAGTGGCACCCGAGGGAGCCTCAGCATAGTGCCTCGGAGCGCCACGCATGCCATGTGCGCGACGGGTTCCAGTTGCAGCAGGCACTTCGGAGGTCCAAGCGAGCCAGGCGCGCCAGGTGCGGCACGTGCTCCACGTTGAAACAATATCCAGGCACCCCCGCCGTCCTTGTCAAAAACCATACAAAGTTGCCGCGGCGCGCCCGCGCACGCCCCAGGTGTGAACAAAGTGTATCCCATATTGTTTTTGGCAGGGATGGTTGGCCTGCGCGCAGCGAACAATATGACGGCATCCCCGCCGCCCTTGCCAAAACCAATGCACAGTGGTCGCGGGGCGCCCGCGCACGCTCCAGATGTGGAGGCAGAGTGCCTTCTGTATTGTTTTGTTGCCACGCATGGTTGGCTTGCGCGCAGCGAGCAATATCACGGCACCCTCGCCGTCCCGGTCGAAAACCATGCGAAGTGGTCGCGGGGCGCCCGCGCATGCTCCAGATTTGGAGGCAAAGTGCATTCCGCACTGTCTGTTGATATGGATGGCTGGTTTGCGCGCAGCGGTCAATATGAAGGCACCATGCCGTCCTTGTTATTTTAATGCAAAGTGGTCGCGGGACGCCCGCGCATGCTCCCGATGCGTAGGCGAAGTACAGTCTGTATTGTTTTTTTTGCATGGGTGATGTGTGTTGGGGGGGGGGGGGGGGGTCGTTTGGGTTTGGCCCACAGTCGGGTAGGGGAGGGGGCATATATTAATAAGGAGCAGTGATAAACGCGCCCCGTGGGCAGGAAAAGTATGGGTTTGGGCGCAGAAAGAGAGAGACAGAGAGAGAGAGAGAGAAACAAAAAAAACTAATGAGAAAGAGAGAAAGAGAGAAAGAGAGAGAGAGTGAGAGAGAGAGGGAGGGAGAAGACAGGTTCATTAAACCACCTACGCCCAGAGGGCTGGTGGGACTCGAAAGTCCGCGCATATCCCCCGTCCCTGGCGCGCGGAGCGCGTCGGGGGCGGCGCCAAGGGCGGCCCAGGGGCGGCGCCAGGGGGTTCCAGCGCCAATCCGAGAAATATGCGCGGAGGTGTTTATGTTATTGTTTGTTCCCCTATACTTCCCTAGGTGGTGTTCCTTCCTCTTTGGGAATAGACTCCAGCCCCTTTTCGACGTGGATCATCAGTTCGAGGCCTGCATTTTGCTGGTGGCGCGACAGCCTACGCCCCTCCTGCCTCCCTCCATCCACTCCTCCCTTGCGCCCCTCCTCGTCCCCCCCCCTCCCACTCCTCCACCCCCCTTTCCGCCCCGCCTCCTTCCCTCCCGCCCTTCCCTCCCGCCCCCCTTCCTCCCGCCCCTTCCCCTCCCTTTTCACCCCTCATCCCTGCCTCCTTCCCTCCCTCCATCCCCCCCCCTCCCTGTTATCGCCCTGGCCCCCGACCTCGGCTCGTTCAGCGCCCAGTTCCCAGCCAGCGTTCCTTTTCTCCTCCTCCTCCTCCTCCTCCTCCTCCTCCTCCTCCTCCTCCTCCTCCTCCTCCTCCTCCTCCTCCCCGTCCTCCTCCTCCCCCTCGTCCTCCTCGTCCTCCTCGTCCTCGTCCTCGGCCGTGTCGTCTTCGTCCTCTTCCTCCGCCTCCTCCTCCTCCCCATCCTCCTCCTCCTCCCCATCCTCCTCCTATCGTATCCCATGGATGCAGCAAAGTGGACATATCCAGTCCGAGGCAGGCAGGGCAGCTCTGGCTGGCAGTGTTTGCTGGCCTTCACAGTGGGACCTGGGCCCCCACATCTGCATGTCTTGGTTTCCCTGTTCAGTGGCAGTCCCGCAAATCGGTAAGCTGTGGAGTTTCCTCATCCTGCTCGCGAGATTGCGATGCTTGCTGATGGCCGCCGCGCAAAGAAGAACCCGAAGGAGAAGGGCACCACGCGTCGCCGCCGCGACGCTCCCAGCGGGTCTGGAGGGTCTATCACACCGGCTGCGACCGCTGCTCGCCGTGGTCGGGGAGGGCATCGCCAGGATGTTGATGAAGGTGTCGGTGCTCTCTCCTAGGGCCTTTGTTCGTTCTCGCAGCGCTCCTCGAGAAGTCGGTGGCCTCACCCAGGCTGCCTGGGATGCGGCGGCTATCTTTCCTTCTCGAGAGGCGGCAGACGTGCGTCGGGCTCACGCTGCTGCTCTTCAGGCTGCTGCCGACGCGGGCGAAGCGCCGATTGGGACCCGATTGTTAGTGACGTCACCCCTCCTGCTCATGGACACGCTGCTGGGTCTGACGGGCGCGCTCAAGGCGTCATGGATCCTTGGGCTTCGGGCAGTCTTCGTGATCAAGTTCGGAAAAAGTTGGCAGAAGTACATGGACAGATGTTCAAAGAAGTTCTGGACCGCTATCTTCGTAGAATGTCTTCAGTTTGCCTCACAAGTCTTCAAAATCATCTCCCTGGTGCGCAGGCGGTCGCCACTAAGCCTGACTTCGAGAAGTTCGACAAGCTCACCGATGGTCACGTCGCATCGTTTGGGCGCCGCATGGACGCTGCAGAGGAGCACATGCTTGCAGTAGAGGATGGCCAGCGTTGCCTACGCGAGCGGCTGGCGCGCCTGGAAGGAGAGCTGGACTTGGCCAGGTCTGCCCCTCCCCATGCGCAGGTGGCTCGGACTGGCGACTGGGGCCGCGCGATCAACCCTGCGATGTTTCATCCTCAATGCGAAAGAAGAGATCAGCTACGTGCATGCTCGAGAATGTCTGCAGAGTTGGGTCGGCAGTCGTTGGTGCACCTTCGGTTCCGAGGTGAAGTTCGAGGGCCCTCAGATCGGAAGGGTTTTCGTGCCGCGCATGGTCGGGCCCCTTGAAGCAACTATGCTGTTTCGGGTGCGCCAGTGCCAATCCCGGCTCCGCCAGTACGGGCAATGGTGCTCATTCTCGGTGCAGAAGCCCAGTGGGCGCGCCCACATCGCCCAGGAGCGGGCATGCAATGCGCCGCGCGCTGCGCTCGAGACTTCTGTGCGCATGGCAGCAGCAGCATCAGTTCGGAATGCAGCAGCTCTAGCAGCAGCAGTTGCACCTCCTCCTCCTTTTCCTGTTTCTCCTCCTCCTCCTCCTTCTCCTCCTCCTCCTCCTCATCTTCCTCCACTTCTTCCTCGTCCTCCTCCACCTCCTCATCCCACAACCGCGCTCCCGCGCGAGCTCCCGGTCGCGTGGGGCGTGCGCGCACGCGGGAGGGGTGGGAGGGATCGTCGACGAACATTGGTTTGGAGCGAGCCCGTGCTTTATATGTACTGGGGGTGGGCTGGGTGGTGCACGCAACCCCTTCCGCCACCAGCCACCGCGAACACCACAAGGAGAAACATGGACGGTTGGGCAGCGCGGCGAATACAGTCGGCCCGGATTAGTAGGTCGACCCTGCCAGCTCAAGGGTACCCTTGTGTCCTGTGCCTCGCGACACGTGCCTTCTTACACTCCTATGGCGATGTGGCCCTCGGGCTGGTCTTGTGTCCTCTCGCGTGTCCTGTCCAATCAAGGCCGACTGTATATCTCATCGTAAACGCTGGCTCAAAACAACGAAATTGGACATAAGCATTGACATGAGTTGTTGCCATTCACATAGAGCGAGGAAGGCTCGAACACCCAACGGACTGGCACCAACCCAGGCCGGGAGGGAAGGCAGGGGCGAACCACGACCAGAGTAAAGTGCACCGACCCAGCGCGTAGACCGAATCGCTGAAATGCAGAGCTAGAGCTCCGAGGACAGAGCGACCGCGAACGGGCGAAGCGGAGAACGCAAACCTGCATGCAGGCAGCGGGCCGCCGACCACGGAGAGAAGGGCAGGGACCGAAAACGCAGGGGAGCGGGCAGAGCGGAGGCGGCCTGCAACGAGGAGGCCTGCAGCCGAGCACTGCGCCGCGACAGCACGAAAAATGGTGCGCGTGGAAAGCGACCTCGGTCAGAGCCCCGAATCATCAGGGGTAACTCGGGTCAGGGCTAACTCGGGTTCCTTTTTCGGGAATCCAAACCCGACTTACCCCGGACCCGAGTTACCCCGGATAACTCGGGCGCCCAACTCGGGCAGCAGGACCTGGCCATGGGCGGACACGAAGGGACACCCGAGGCCACAACCCACGGGCAGAAGGGAGCAGCGGGGGGCCTCCCGCGCGTGTCGGCCGCAGCAGGCGGGCTTCACAGGGCCGCAGCCCGGGCCTCCTCCTCCTCCTCCTCCTCCCGCCTCCTCCTCCGCGAACAGCTCTACACCTTAGGCGATGCTTAAGAAAACCCAAGTTTTCGGCCAGAGTCTCGATTATTCTTAATGTTTCGATGTAAATCCTAAGATTTTAATAGAAACGTTGGGTGTTTATGCAAGTTCTGAGACTATGAATTTCTTAACCCATGATTTCTTAAGCATTTCGCAGGGTGTACGCGACCTCAGGCTATCACGGCCTGGCGGTGGCGATGTTGGCGGCTGGGGACGTCGTCGTCGCACGCTGTGCCCCTCATGGACCACAGGCATCCAGAGTGCATCCCGGGCATTGGCCCGATCGGCGTGCTCTCGTAGGGCCATCCCTCTGGACGTCCGTCGGCGCCACCCTTCGCCTCGCCCCTTGGGGCCCCGGGCAGAAAGCACAGCCGGCAGGCTCAGCTCCTCGGGCCCCCCCTGGCAACCATCGAGGCCCAGCGGCCGCGCCGGGCCTGCCCAAGAGCACGGAACACGACCGCCTCCGCGCTGGTCGGCAGCCCACACGCGATATCAGCGGGGCGCGGGGCGGGCGATGGGCGGCGTGTTGCCCGTGCGCGGCGCGGGCTCCGAGGGGGGACACCTTTTCAAAGAGGTTGGCCGCAGGCCTTCTTCTCCATCGTCCGTATCCCTAGGTATCGTCCGCCTTCGCCCATCGTCATCGTCTTGCTCCTGCTCCTCCTCCTCCTGGTCCTCGTTCCCCCTTCTCCTGTCGCCCCATATTCTTTCCTTCTCGCCCCTCTTCACAATTACACAATATGAATATTACTTTCTCTCTCTCTCTCTCTCTCTTTCTGTCTCTCTCTCTCTCTCTCTCTCTCTCTCTCTCTCCCCTGATGACGTCCGGAAGATATTCGGCCCCCCTCCGCGTATTGTCTTTTACACAGGATTCCCGGGAGTTGGGTTAAAATGCTGCTCCCGCTGAAGCGCTGGCTTCATTTTCGGGCTTCCGCTCGTTCAGAATCGTGCTCCCGCTGCAGCGCTGGCCTCATTTCCGCGCTTCTGTTCGTTACGAATCGTGCCCCCGCTGCAGCGTTGGCCTCATTTCCACGTTTCCGCTCGTTCCGAATCGTGCTCCCGCTGCAGCGCAGGCGTCATTATTTCCAGTGCCATGCCACGACATGCAATGCAATGTTATGTCGTGTTCCGCTGTGCGATGCCATGCCTTCAGCTGCAATGCTAGGATATGTAGTGCTTGACTACGCATTGCCACGCGATGCTATGCCGTGCTACGCTGGATCTTCAACACCATGTTCTGTCATGTGCCACTGTGCTATGCCATTATTTGCGTTGCAGTGCTGCGTGGTGGTGCAATTCTTCACTACGCAACACCACGCCATGCTATGACGTACTGTAGTACGCTCTGCCGTTCTCTTCTGCGCGCTGCTATGCCGTGCTCTACGATGCATCGCGCACCCTCTCGGGATCATCGCCCTGTTCGACATCCGACTGTGCGAATAGAGAGGAGATCCACGCCATGGTAAGGGATAGGAGGGAGGGGCAGGACGTCAGATATGACGCGAGCGCACCTAGCTTGCCATACCCCCCTCCGCTCTTTCCGCCTTTCCTTTTCTCGGTCCCCCTCTCCCTTTCTCCCACGCATTCTGTTCCCCTCCCCCCTGTCCCCTTTTTCCCTCTCCCTGTCCCCACTCCGTTTCCGCCTCGCCTTTCTGCGCCCCGCATTCGCATCTCCTCCCCCCCGCCCTTTTCCGTTCGTCTCCCCTCCCTACTTCTCCCTCCCACTGCCCCCCCCCGCTTACCCTCCCGCTCCGCCCCCCCCCCCGCTCCCACAGCTCCTCGCAGAGGAGACGACACCGCCCTGGCGGAGACGTTGGAGTCGTTGGCCGATGGGTGCCGCTGCGGGGCTGCCCTCCCGCCTTCGCCGTTTCTGGCAGGCGAGCGGAACGAGAAGCCGGCCTGCCAGCCCCCATGATCATGCATGGCTCCCCGATGACCCTAAAACAGGGCTAGGATCGGGATAAATCGCTCCAGAGCGTTCCGGAGCGCTCTCAGAGCGTTCCGGAACGCTCTGGAGCGGCCGCGGCGCCCAACACATCCTCCAAACCCGCCGATTCTCAGAGATTTCGAGTTATCCCGATCCGATTTTGTTCCGATCTTCGCGTCGTTTTAGACCCCAGGGGACCCTTAGGGCGCCTTGGCGAAGCCCAGGGTCGGCGAAGGATGTGCCCCTGGACCTCCTGCGCGGAGGCTGCTCGTCGCCACGGTGAAGGTTCACCGCTCGCGCGAGCCCGCTTCCAGTCGCAGGCGTGTCGGCTGCCCCGGGGCGCGGGACCGTCGCCGGGCCCGTGCTGCTGCTCCAGCGAGCGGAGGGGCGCGTGGGGTGTCCTGGCCAGTGCGGGTCCCGCGCGGCCCCCGCGGGAGCCTGGGGCGGAGCGGGGCCACGAGGGCCAGAGGGCCCGGCCAAGGGGGGCCCGCGGCCCCGCGGGTGCCCACGGAGAGTCGAGGTGGCGGGGGGGTGGAGGGCGGGGCCAAGGCTCGTCGCCGCTGGGCCCAAGGGTGTGCGGGTTGCCAGCGCTCAGTTGAGCAGCACCACTGCACACCTACGTGCACGCATACGTGCACGTGTAGGTTGATAGATGTGTGTGCGCGTGCCTGAGTACGGATGTAAGTATTGCATACGACTACAAACCAACTACGAGTGTACAACTATGGTAGTACATATGCACATACATACATGTATGGTCATGCATCGCTATACATACATGCGTATGTACTATATATATGTGTATATATATATATATATATATACACGCACGTGTGTACATATAACATGTGAACATGCGAATTGTATACATGTGAGTGCATGGACGCAAGAAGTCAAATACGTTCCTAAATGATTATACCCATGTGTGTAAACAACATGCATACTTTAAGCATTGTGGCCGTTTAACCGTTGCCCTACTAATCCAGCTTTGCGAGTGGGCGGATCCCAGGTGTCTCTTGAGGCCTCTGTGAGGCCGTCTGAGGGGCCCGTCAGGTCGTACTGGGGCCCTCTAGGGCCGTCTCGGGCCCCTCTTGAGCCGTCTTGGGTCCTCTTGAGCCATCTTGGGTGCCTCCTGGGCCCCTCTTGGGGCCTTTGGGGCGCATTTTTGGGCCGTTTGGAGATTCTGAAGACCGAGAAGGCAGGCGCGCCAAACTCGCATCAAAACATAAGGACATCAACGGCTTGTACCTCTTTGGGGCCTCTGGCGGGTCTTCTTCGGACCCCCTAGGGCCATCCGGGGCCGCAGTTGGCTCTTGTTGGCCGTCTTGGGAGGTTCTTCGGAACCTCTTGGGGCGTTCGTCGGCCCTCTTCGGCCGACGTGGGCAATCTGGCCGCCCAGAGCGCCTGGCTATGCCTCGTAGATCTACGTGCCGGATCGTATTTTGATGATGAGATTAACCAGTTGAAGTGGCACAGCTAGGTATACATATTTACAGATGTACAGACATAAAACATAGAGTTGTACTCATTCAGCATTTTCCCTGCTGATATGTAAAACAGTTTGCCACGACGTACGGGGCGACGGGACAGCCTGAGTCCAGGAAGTCCTGGGAGGGCCCATTATCAAGGCGCCCGAAGAGGGTCCAAGAAGACCATAACAGGGCCAATGTTGGAACCCGTGCCCGCTGATGGGCACCCCGTAGGCGCTCCGTGCGCTTAGATCACATGGCATGCACAGCACATATATATATATATAATACATCACGGGTAGCACATCGCTTCGTTTGTACGACATAGCTCGCATCCCATAGCTTGTTCAATAAAGCTCACGCCACACGCATCGCACCACATAACCTGTACAACATAGTTCGCACCGCATAGCTTGCACAACATAGCTTGCACCACACAGCTCATCTCGCACAGCTTACACCACGTAGTTTGCAACACATACCCTACACCACATAGCTCACGCCACCTCGCACACACCGCAAAGCTTTCACAACATAACATACACCGCATAGGTTGCACAGCATAGCTTCCACGTCCACAACGCAATAACTCACAATGTGGGGTCTGCGCTGGCTAACAGATACACATAGGTGCATACGTACACATTATACAGATAACGTTTGTTTTGTGGCCTCCAGCCTAATCCACCACAGTGCCTGGGTCGTGGACAAGAGGCATGTTGGATGTCTCTTGGAGGCCACTGTGGCCGCCTCTTCTTCGGACCCATTGGAGGCCTCTCGGGGGCCTCTGGAGGCTTTGGGGGGGGGGCACTTGGGGGTCTGATAGCTGCCTCATGAGTCATCTTGGTGTGGAGGGCTCCGAATGGCAGTTCGAGGTCCCCCTCTTGGGTCCTTATTGAAGTCTCGTGGGAGCCTCGTGGGCCCTCTTGAGGGCCTCGGAGTTTATCGTGGGCTGGTATTGAGGGCCTTTTGGCCAGTGCTGGATTCAGACGACCCCGAGCATGCGAAAGCCATGCCCCCTACGCCAAACAAAAAATAGTGTTCAATGATTTGGAGATCCTGGGCCGGCCCCCAGGGCCTCCAAGACGGCCCAATATACTCTCAACAGAGCCCCAGGAGGGTCCCTTCGGGCTGCCGAGGGATCCTGGGCCTCTTGGCGTGGTTCTGGCCGTTGGGGGACATTGGAGTCGTTGTGGGCGGGCTCGGTTTCCAGGGAGGCCACGCGGCAAGCGCTGGCAAGAATTCCGGCAAGCTGGCGGCCCCTCCTATACGACCCCTTTATATAGCACTCAGATCTGCGTGAGCCCCGCCTCTCCTCGCACGCTCTCGGCCGCGCCGGCGCAGAACTTGGCCGGCGAGGCTCGTGCACCCGGGCGCGGCCGAGGCCCTGGACCCCCGGCGGCAAAGCCGAGGCCCTGGACCCCCCGTGGCAAAGTCCCGTCGACGGCGGGCGCCCCGGCCGCTGCCCCATCCTGCAGCGCCCAGGTGCCACCCCGGGGCCCTCCCGCCTCCTCCCTCCGCCTCTGCGGCCGTGCAGAGTTTGCGATCTTCGCCTCTTAGCACAGCCACACGAGTTGACTGTGCTGACTGCCTCTGCTAGCTGCAGCGCCGCCATTAGCTGACAGGCCATACGCTTCATCAGCAGCGCAATCCAAACAAAAAATCTGCGGCCGCCGCGCCGCTCGCCTGCTCTCCCCCCCTCTGTGCGAGCGTCGTGGTCTTCGGGCGTGCCCGTCGGTTTTCTCGTCGGCTTTTCCAACCTCGGGATGCTTTCCAGCGGCTGCGCCTCGTCGAGCGCGTTCAACGGGGGGGGGGGGCGGCATTGACGCGGACGGCGGCCAGGGAGCCGAGTTGCGACCCGAAGACCAGGGGTCAACGCATGGGGGGGGGGCGGCGACGACGGCGCGATGGCCGACGGCAGCTGATCGGAGCCATTTGGTGCCGTCCCGACCTCCCCTGGTCACCAGTGGAAGGTCGGAATGGCACGCGGGTCGCGAAGGAAGGGCCAGCCGACGGTTCAGCAGCTTCGGGTTGGCGCCGGCGGTTCAGGGCCGGCCGGCGGTTCAGCCGGGTCTGCTTTTGATTCGATTCACGTTACTGGCTCGTGCTTGGTCAACCGTGCTGGTTCAGCGTTTCGTGTCACGCCGCGGCCACCTCGCTGGTGCGGCGGTGGCCCCAGGGGCGAGGGTCGGGGTGACGGCATCGCGCACTGTGTCGCCCGCCCCCCGTCGGTGCGGTTGGTCAGGCGGGCGTACCACGCCCGCCCTGCGCTGCTGCCGTTTATCCGCTCCCGCACGCCCTCCACTGGCGTCATCCCCACAGGGCCTGCGTCCTCGTACTGGCCCCACGCGCGTCAGAGGAGCCCCAGGAAGGGACCAGTGTTCGAGGCGAAAGCAACGGCACAGACATCAGAGTGAGGGGGGCGAAGGGTCATTCACTGTCCTTGGGTGCGTGGTTGAAGCGGAGGTCCGCGGCGCGGATTCTCTGCTTGTTTGTTTGTCTGTCTGCTTGTCTGTCTGTTTGTCTGTCAGTCTGTCTGTCTGTCCGTCTGTCTGTCTGTCTGCTTGTTGGTTGTCGTCGTCCCACCCGCCACACGGCCCGCGACCGCCCCGCCCCGCGACCCACCCGCGACTCACCCGGTGACCCACCCGCGAGGCACCCGCGGCTTACCACACTGTTCTGACAAAAAAAATATTTTTAAAAAAAAAAAAAAAAAAAAAAAAAAAAAAAAAAAAAAAAAAAAAAAAAAAAAAAAAAAAAAAAAAAAAAAAAAAAAAAAAAAAAAAAAACGTCGCCTGCGGCGGGCTCGTTGCGCAGTGTGCAAGGAAAAGTCTGCGCCTGCGGCTGGCTTCCTGCAGAGGCCCGCGGCCTGCCGACGACCCCGCCGACCCCCTCGCTCCTATCCGCAATCGCGGGGTGCTGCGTAAACTCTCGGAGCTCGGCGCGGACCTCTGAAAGTTTATGTTTATGCCGCTTGCTGTTCTTCTGCTTTCGTCCACGTGTGCACCGCAGGGGCCACGGAGCATGTCCTGATTGACCTTCTCGGCCCCCTGACGCCCGTCGCCTGCACCTGCGCCTCTTCATCCTCCTCTCCGCCGCTGCCCACCTCAGGGTGTGCAGGGGGCTCCTCCTCCGAGGGGCGCTGCCCTGGTGGCCTTCGGCCCTCCCCGAGGCCCGTGCCGAACTGCGCCTTCCCCGCCGCAGGTCTGCTGCCGCCGCGGTGGTCGCTGACCGTCGCCGCGTGTGGGCAAGACTCCTGGCCGTGGTGCCAGACCCGTTCCGTATAGGCCTGTGCGCGTCAGCTTGGGCTGGCGGGCTGATGCTGCTTTGGGCTGCCACCCCCCAGACCGTCGGCGCCGCTGCTCGCCCCCCCCCGCCCCCCAGCCCCAGAGTCCATTTCGATCCGATCGATCCGAACCGATGTCGAGTTCACCTGGCTCGGTCCGATTCGATTCCGCTATTCCGACGGTCCGATGCGGCCCGATGCTTGGATGGCGTTGTTGTATATCCTGTCGCGGCTGGCTCGACCCGACCCGACGCACGCTCTGATCCGATCCGCTCTCCCGGTCGATGCCGACTGGCCCCGCCGCCTTCATTGAGGCCTCCCCCAAATGGGGTTCGAGGCTCCGAGGGGATGGGGTCGGAGGATCTCGCCGCATTGCCGATGCCTTGGCGATGCATCGGCGACGTCGGCGATGCATCAGCGACGTCGGCGTGGAGAACATCGGGCTCCACATCGAGCCGCATTGCCGATGCATCGGCGTGCGGGAGGCATGGGCTTCTCCGCCCTGGGACGCAGACATGCGACGTCCTGGCTTGTTTACGACAGGGTCACTGGAAGTCCCGAAACTCTCCCCAGGGCTGGTTTTTCTTTCACAGTCGTGTGTTCAGGGTCCCGGGGCCTTGCGAAAACCCCGGAGGACGAAAACGGCCAAGAGCCTCGCGTCGCGATTTTTTCACGACGCGAGCCCTTGGCTGCGGGAGTCTGTCGACGCCGGCCCGCTGCTCCCTCGGCGACAACGACGAGCGGGGGAAGGGGGGGGGGAGGCGAGGAGAGGGTGGGGCGGGTAGCGGGCCGCCCGCCGCGCGGCGCGTGCGAGCTTGGGCCCAGCGATTGGGAGTTGGGCCGCGCGCGTAGGGGAGGGGGGGTAGCTCTCGCGCGCTCATTTCGGGCAGCGAAATCTATGCATGCCGACTGCTCCCTGGCCAGGCCCATCCTGAACCCAGGAGCTGTGCATAAGCTGCGCCCTCCTGGCCACGTGGGGAGGTATACACCGCTGCCGGGTTCAGAATGGGCCCGGCCAGGGCGCAGTGGAGAGGTGCAGAACTCGTCGCCCCACCGTCGGGGCGGCGCGCGCCCTGCCTGGGGAGGTACGACCTCGACAGCTTCGACGTCGTCCTGCTGGCGAGGGGCGACCGGGCCCTGCAGCGGGAGCAGCTGGCCACCCTCCTGCGGGCGGGCGCCGTGCGGCACGGGACGCCGCGGGGGAGGGGGGCGGGGAGGGAGGGAGCCGCGCCGGGAGGCACGCGGCGGCGCAGTGTCGGGAGCCGCGCGCCCCCAGAGGCCCCCAGCCCGCTCCCTGGCGCAGCTCCCCGTCGCCTGGCGCCAGCTCCGAGCGCCCTCTCTATAATAGGGCCCGGCAGGCGGGCCCCCGAGGCCGAGAGCCCGAGGAGAGGCCAGGGGCCCGCAGCGGATATCGCCCCCCCGGAGGAGATCCGGAGGGCCGGCGCCTCTACGAGTGGCGCTCGAGTCGGGGGCCTCCGCTCTGCCCACCAGGTCGAGCTATCGCGGAGCCTGGGCCTCACAGAAATTGGAGCCGGCTGCGAGCGGGAGAGACGGGCTGCAGAATACATGCAGCCCAAGCTTGATGTTCTTCTGTCGGGTCTCTACCCACAAGAAAGAACAGCAGAATGCTCCGTAGATCTTCGGGCATTGTACGTATTTGTTCGTAGGTCCGACGAACAAGTCAAGCGTGCGGTACATCGGTTCTGTAGTCGATCTCCTGCTCGACGGCTGGGGGTCTGAGGTGGCCCAGCACTGGCTCCAGCCAGCCAGAAGGGGGGAAAAC